CAGAAGCTAGTTAGAGGGGTCTAGTCCTGAGGAAACATTTTTCCTGTAAATGACAGCATGACAGCAGCAGGTTTTTTCGGCTCCTCAGGAACCAATGGTGACCATCCAATGAAATGACCGGACCGAGTAATCACATTTTGTTTTAAGAGTATGAGTTTTAACATACTGGTCAGGCAGGCGTGAGCACATCACTCCAGTTCTGATGTCTCTTCACTGGCTTCATGTCCAGTTTCGAATTCATTTTAAAGTTCTATTGTTTGTTTTTAAGTCTTTGAACGGTCTTAGTCCCTCTTATTTGTATGAACTGCTTCACTTTTACATACCATCACATGCTCTTAGATCCTCTGACCAGATGCTTTTAGCAGTCCCAAAAACCTTTTATAAATCCAGAGGAGACAGAGCCTTTTCAGCTCTGGCTCCTAAATTGTGGAATGAGCTGCCGCTCGATGTCAGGCAGGCCCCATCACTTTCTGTTTTTAAAACTAGTTTAAAAACACTTTTTTTTCCATTGGCTTTTAACCTAGAGTGAGTCAGCATCTGTGTCTTAATTTTGTATTCTTTTACTTATGATGTTCTGATTATTTTTTCAATATATATTTAGGTGTTTTTATTATTTTACTGGGTTTTTTTTGTTTTGTTTTTTAATTTTGTACAGCACTTCAGATTGCTGCTTGTTTAAGTGCTTTAGAAATAAATTGGTATGGTATGGTATACTATATATAATCCAAAATAGTTCAATCTGGTCCTCTGGACATTCAAAAAAACAAAAAACAAAACAAAGCAAAAAAATATAGAAACGTTTCGTCTCTCATCCAAGAGACTTCCTCAGTCTGAGGAGCTGTATTCAGCTCAGTCTCTTAAATAGCACCGTCTCAGAGTGGATCAACCAGTTTGCTGCTGACAACCAAAACCAGCTGATCACATGCTCAAGAAGGACCATCAGCCTAACAATGGATCATTAGCATCCATTGCAAAGGCGTGTCAACCAAGACAGGTCCACAACATCCAGAGCCTTAAGGAAATCAGGGTGAATCTGATCCACTTCCGGAGTCCTGCCGCCTCTGAGTTTTTTAACTCCCTCGGCAACCTCAACCACAGTTATGGATGACAAAAAACCCAAAGTCCCCCCACTCTGTTTCCTCCATGGAAGATGTGCTGGTGGGATTGAGAAGGTCAGAGAAGTATTCCTTCCACCTTCTAACGACATCACTGGTTGAAGTCAACAGCACCCCACCTTCACTGAACACAGTGTTAGTAAAGTGCTGCTTTCCTCTCCTCAGCCGCCTGATGGTTGACCAGAATCTTCTTGGAGCCGACAGAGTCGTTATCCAAGGTCTCACCGAACTCCTCCCACATCTGAGCTTTTGCCTCAGAAACAGCCAAGACTGTAGACCGCTTGGCCCTCCGGTACTCCTTAGCTGCCTCCAGAGTCCCACTGGGCAACAAAGTCCGATAGGACTCCTTTTTCAGCTTGACAGCCTCCCTAACCCAGGGTGTCCACCACAGAGTTCGTGGATGGCCACCATGAGAAGCACCGACAACCTTGTGGCCACAGCTCAAGGCAGCTCCCTCAACAAGTGAGGCATGGAACATGGCCCACTCGGACTCAATGTCCTCCACTTCAGCTGGGATGCAGTTAAAGCTCTCTAGGAGGTGTGAGTTGAAGATCTCTCTGAGATCTCTCCAACATTTTACTGACCACATCAACTCTGTGGATAAATACATGAAGTTCACACGAGAAGATGTGGAAAATGGCAGGTTGGCTTTCTTGGACTGTGAGGTCTCAGTCTCTGATAGAGGACATTTGCAAACCGAGGTGTACCGCAAACCCACCCACACAGACCAGTATTTGCAGTTTGACTCCCATCACCCTTTGGAGCACAAGTTAGGAGTCATCAGGACTCTGTATCACAGAGCAGACAGCATCCCCACTAACTTAGGAGCCAGGCAGAAGGAGAAATCCTACACAAGACAGGCTCTAGAGCAATGTGGATATCCTAACTGGGCCTTCCTGAAAGCAGAGAAGGAACCCAAACAGGACTCCAGTCAGCCATCAGGTGAAAAAGAGGAACCCAGATCAGTGGTCATTCCGTATGTTGAGGGAGTATCAGAGAAACTGAGACGTTTATTTTCTAAACATAACGTCCCAGTGGCTTTTAAACCCCAAAATACATTACGGCAAAGACTGGTTCATCCCAAAGATCCAGTCCCCCGGCACAAACAGAGTAATGTTGTGTATGCTGTTCAGTGTCAGGAGGGCTGTGATCAGTCTTACATCGGGGTAACTAAACAGCCACTGGCCAAAAGGATGGCCCAGCACAGAAGATCAACATCATTAGGCCAGGATTCTGCGGTCTACACTCATCTCCAGGCCAGTGGTCACTCTTTCAAGGATGAAGATGTTCACATCCTGGACAGAGAGGAACGATGGTTTGAGAGAGGAGTAAAGGAGGCCATCTTTGTGAAAAGAAATCGTCCATCATTAAACAGGGGTGGAGGCCTCCGTGTTCAACTGTCCCCCTCTTACAATGCTGTTATTGCTAGTATCACTCAGCCCCCTGTGAATAGTAAACAGCCATCAGTGTGCTAATGATCCTTTGTTAGGCTGATGGTCCTTCTTGACCATGTAAGCAGCTGGTTTTGGTTGTCAGCAGCAAACTGGTTGATCCACTCTGAGAAGGTGCTATTTAAAAGACTAAGCTGAATACAGCACCTCAGACTGAGGAAGTCTCTCGGATGAGAGACGAAACGTTTCTATATATATTTTTTTTGCTTTGTTTTTTTTTTTTTTTTAATGTCCAGAGGACCAGATTGAACTTTTTTGGATTTTTCTACCTGGATTATTGAGCATGCATCAGGATATCTATCTATATGAGGGTTTCTTCTGCCAGGTGTGTCCTACAAACCCTCACTACACGTTTGGGTCTACCGGGTCTGTCTGGCATCTTCCCCCGACATCTGATCCAACTCACTACCAGGTGGTGATCAGTTGACAACTCAGTTCCTCTCTTCACCCAAGTGTCCAAAACAAACGGCTGCAAATCAGATGACACGACTATGAAGTCAATCATCGATATATGACCTAGAGCGTCCTAGTGCCAAGACACCCTTATGTTCGAACATGGTGTTCATACAATACAATACAATACAACTTTATTTATAGAGCACTTTAAAACAACACTGTTGGCCAAAGTGCTGTACACTAGGACATACAAAAACATAAAAACCCCACACGTTAAAAATATGAAATAAAATAAAAATAACAAATAAAGTAAAACAAATAACTTAGAGTCATTAAAACCAACATTTCAAACTGAAGTAAAAGCCAAAGAGAAAAGATGTGTCTTCAGAGAAGACTTAAAAACATGATGGACAAACTATGACTAGCACAGAAGTCCCACAACAAAACACCGCTTGGGTTCAGATCAGAGGCCGTTCCTCCCAATCATGCCCCTCCAGGTTGCACTGTCATTATCCATGTGGGCATTGAAGTCCCCCAGCAGAATAAAGGGGTCTCCAGCTGGCGCACCTTCCAGCACCCCTGCCATGTACTCCAAGAAGGCCGGATACTCTGAACTGCAGTTCGGCGCGTAGGCACAAACAACAGTCAGAGCCCGTTCCCCCATCCGAAGGCGAAGGGAAGCCACCTTCTCATCTACCGGGGAAAACTCCAACACACAGGCACCAAGTCGGGGGGCTATAAGTAGACCCACACCAGCTCGACGCCTCTCACCATGGGCAACTCCAGAGTGGAATAAGGTCCAGCCCCTCTCAATGAGATCAGTTCCAGAGCCCATGCTGTGCGTCAAGGTGAGCCCAAGTATATCTCTAGTCGTTACCTCTCAACCTCGTGCAAAAGCTCAGGCTCCTTCCCCACCAGAGAGGTTACATTCCATGTCCCAAGAGCCAGCTTTGGTAAGCCAGGGTCAGAGCGCCAAGGTCCCCGCCTTCGACCACTACCCATAGTATCATAAATAAGACTTTTATGGCCTTTCCTGCAGGTGGTGGGTCCACAGGAAGGCAAACCCATGCTGCTCCTGCGGGCTGAGTCCCCATGGGTAGAGACCCGGTCACCAGATGCTCGCTGATGAGCCCCTCCCCGAGGCCTGGCTCCAGGGTGGGGCTCATCCCATGTCTGGGCAAGGGACACCTAGTTCCTTGTTTTGTCCATAAAAATCTTCTGAATCGCTCTTTGTCTGGCCTGTCACCTAGGACCAATCTGCCTCGGGAGACCCTACTAGGGGCAATTATAACTGACCCCAACAGCATAGCTCCTAGGATCATTCAGGCGCACAAACCCCTCCATCACGATAAGGTGGCAATTCAAGGAGGGAAAAAAAAAGTGAAACGTGTATATTATATTCATTCATTACACACAAACTGATATATTTCAAATGTTTATTTCTTTTAATGTTGATGATTATTACTGACAACTAATGGAAACCCCAAATTCAGTGCAGATGAAGCAGCCTCCCAGTTGGAGATGATTGAACTTTGTGAGGATGACAGACTGAAATGTGTTTTAAGAGAAAGAACCACAGAGTTTTGGACAATCGCGCCCACAGACAAATATCCCAATGTAAAACAGGCTGCATTCAAGCTAATGTCAATGTTTGCATCAACATACTGTATGTCTGTGAATCAGTTTTTTCTACACTTAAGCAAGTGAAGTCTAAACATCGTTCTGGTCTAACTGACACACGTGAAAGAGTTGCTTTGAGTAGCCACAACAGAGTACAAGCCAAATTTAAAGACACTTTCAAAAATAAAGAATGTCAGGTGTCCCACTAAGGCCTAAGGGACTAAGAAAAAGAACTAAGAACTAAGTAAAAAAAAAAAAAACAGTTTGAGCAATATGTGTAATTAAGCTAATCTCAAAATTGCCGTTTGGCTCTTTAAGGTGATGATGGGCTTAATTTGGTTTTTAATGCTGAACTGGTTCACCACCCCTGGACTAGATGCAGAAAAACTTGAACTATCAAAAAATCAAACACCATCACCTTCCAGACGTCACCTCCCCATGCTCGTCCTTCTTCTTTGACCTCTGCAGCTCCAGCTCTGCATCTCGCTCCTCCAAGTGGGTGGTATTGTTACATGATAGATTACATACAGTAGCTTCCTGTGAAATCAAATAAATAAATAATCTTTACACATCTTTTCACAGTAAAGACTAAAGATGAAGGCAAGTTTAACTCACTGCTGAAAGGTATGACAGTTCCTAAACACTAGCTGGAGGGAAGTACTGTTTGTTAACGTGATTCTTTTAGAACAATCAAAGATTCTCAGACCTCCTTCAGTTCTTTCTGAGGTACAAGCTAGATGAAAGATACATTTTCTGGCAAGTATTAGGATTTCCTCAAGTAGTCCTCCTGATGGCATCTATAACACCTTTCCTTGACAGGATAAACTACCTCAGCTCTACTATGAACTAGGGCTGGGCCATATCATATCGTTCACGATAATACAGGTAAAAAAAAAGCTTGTCCGGTAAAATAAATTATATTATGACATATCCTGATGCATGCTCAATAATCCAGGCAGAAAAATGTAAAAAAGTTAAGTGTGGTCCTCTGGAGGACCACACTTAACTTTTTTGTGCCCCTTTTCCACTGTCACGTAGTGGGTTGGATATTTCCGGCTTGATGCGTGTTTGAGGTCTTTTCCATAGTTCTTGGGACCGGCTCACCTCCCAGAATTCTGGCCCGGCTTCTCAAGGGGTCCAAGCAAGCCGAGACGTCAGAAACACTGTCGGTCACTGATTGGTTGGGGGGAGGAGTCTGTGGAGTCTTTCCAAACAACCCGATTCGTCATTTTTCTCTACCGCCTGCCATTAGCGATAACTCGAGGAGCGTATCTTTTAGTATTTTGAAGCTATATAAAAACAATAATATCCAAGCTGTGGTCAAATGCAGAAGTGCAGGTGTTGTTGTGCTTGGTGGCTGATGAAAAAAGTCAAAGCGAGCTAGATGGAGCGATTGGAGGGTGGTTTGGACACGGTTACTGCTCTACTTGAATCATTTATAGAAGATGGTGAATAAAATGTTGAATAAATACTGAATACACACCACATGTTGAACATGTGTTGGGATGAAATTATGCACACAGGGTCCCAGTTACAGACAACAATAAAATGTAAAAGAAAAACAGTGATAAGATCTAAGACATGAACTAAAAAAAAATCAACTAAAAAACATCTACTAATAATACACTAAGCACTAATAGCAGTAAACAATCGTTGGTTACGTACTGTAACCCCAGATTCTACGATTATAAGCGTAGCCCTTTAAGGCTGTCGCTTGGTGGGTTTATCCCGTTATGCGTAGCATTAGCACTGAAAAATTTAGTCCACGCCCACCTGCTATGTGGGCCCTACCCGGTCCGTATAAATTACGTTAAGAGCGGGAAATCGGCTCCCAAAATAGCTTTTTCTTCAGCCACTTAGGAGCCAGTGAGGCCCGACGCTTAAAGGGCTACGCTTATACTCATAGAATCTGGGGTTACAGTACGTAACCAACGTTCTATTTCGTATAAGCTTCGCCCTTTAAGGCTGTCGCTTGGTGGGTTAAGGGCAAAGCAGATGTGGTCCTCGCCTCACTGGGTCCATTCGAACACCGTATGAAGCAGAAGCTTGCCCAAAAAACGTCTTGTCACTCAGCTCCCTATGTGCGTAATTACGCATTGCGTAATTATGTGAGCCATGCACAGACGCATGTTGTGTAACTATGCGTTCATGGCTGAGCAGTATAGACAGATTAATAATAACAAATGACTGATTATCAATCAAATGAACTGATTGGTAACAATAGTCATGAACTGATTAGTGACAATAGAACCAAAATAACAGACACAACTTGTGACTGATACACATCTCACACTGTGAAGCATGCAGACAGATGTGAGCTTAAACAGAGTTCCATGAAAACAACAATATTCATTCTGTTAGAGCACTAAGGACAGAATGTGTCATGGAACGGGCCGTCACATCACGTAGATAAGAGCGAATGAATGAGCAGGGTGTTGACCACGCGGCCGCAGTGCAAGAGTCCTGCATTGTCATACCATTATGCAAGGCAGTCGAAGATGCGATACCCCTGGTCGAGTGCGCCCTGAGGTTGACAGGAGGCTCTAAATCTGATGCTCTGTAGGCTCCAGAAATGGCCTCACACAGCCAGTGTGACAAGCGCTGGGTGGATAACGGGCGACCTGCAGGTGCATCTCTATAATGCACAAACAAATGTTGAGTTTGGCGCATTACAGCTGTGCGCGCTATGTAACACGTCAACGCCCGCACCGGACAGAGAAGATGGCAAGATGCTTCTTCTTCTGATCTGTGGGGGGGAGGAAAAAACCCCTCCAACGATATCGCTCTTGAATTAAAAAAGCTCGTGATGTTCTAGGCATAAAGGCTGGGTTTGGTCTTAAATCAGCTGAGCTGCCCGTCAGCCTGAATTCTAAGACATGACGGAGTGACAGAGAGGGCAGATGAAACACTCACCCTCTTAGCGGATGTTAAAGCCAGCAGCAGGGCTGTTTTAAGAGACAATAATTTAATTTGAACCTGATCCAGAGGCTCAAATGGAGCTTTGATCAGGGCCCGCAGGACCAGTGTTAAATCCCACTGTGGCACAAGTGGGCGTGAAACAGGCCTGCGTCTCTGTACGCCTTTTAGAAACCGCTTCATCAGCGGGTGATTAAAAGCTGTTCTGTCTCCGAACCCTTCATGTCAGGAAGAGATGGCTGCAGCGTACGTTTTAATCGTGCTGAAAAACCAACTTCCTGTCTATCAGCTGTGTAGAAAAAACAGCACGCCGCCTAATGGACATGAGGTGGCCTCTACACCTTTTTCTGTACACCAGCGCTGAAAAACTGTCTACTTTGATGTGTACAGCGCTGTGGTAGATGCAGCACGTGAATCCTGGATTGTGCGCACTACCTCCTGTGGGAGACCCATCCTCTCTAAGCGGAACCGCTCAATGGCCGGACTCACAGGTGCTGGCCTATTTCTGGGAAACTCCTGATCGCTCCTCCTGCCTGTAGGAGAGCGTCCTCCCTTCATGGCAGTTTCCACGGGCGCCCCGATAACAGGCGTTGTAGGGCTGAGAACCACGGTGTGTTCACGCACTCGGGGACCACCAGGAGAGCTGTCAATCCCTCCTCCTGAACTCGGTTCAGGAACCGTAAAATCAGAGGAGGTGGAGGAAACGCGTGCAAAAGTGTTTTGGACCATGGGCTGTGGGCAAATGCATCCACCCCCAGTGGTGGTTTGTCTCGCAGTCTCAGGTAAAACCATAGTTGACACTGAGCGTTCTCTCGTGTCGCAAACAGGTCCACAGCTGCTTTGCCAAATTTCTGTCACATCTAAGTCATCAGGTCTGGATGGAGAGTCCAGTCACCGTGACGTGGGCCGCCCCTGGACATCACATCTGCCCCTTTGTTCAGAACACCGGGTATGTAAACTGCTCTGATGGAGAGCAGATTTTGGTGAGCCCAACACAGAAGCTTTCGCGCAATGTGTAACATCTGGGCTGAGCGCATACCCCCCTGTCGGTTTATGTACGCAGCAGTCACCTTGTTGTCTGTGTGAATCAACACATGTTGATTCTGTAGCGCGGGAGCAAAGTGCTGAATCACATTCAGCACTGTGCAACACTCTAAGACATTTATGTGGGCTGATGTGTGATGGGGCCACAGCGCCCCTACTGCTTGAGATAGGCATGTCCCCCCCAAGCCTGAGAGCAACGCGTCCGTGAAGACTGACACGTGACGTGGGTCTGCTGACAGGGGCTCCCTCCGACAGAACCAGGGAGTTTCCCCAGTGTCGGAGGTCTGCCCTCACAGAGGGAGGAAACAGTGATCATCTGTCTCTTTGTTTTACTGGATCCATACGCAGACGCACAAACCACCTCTGGCGGCGTCGCATGTGTAATAAACCCAGCGGGACCACTGTGTGAGCTGATGACATCATTCCTAACAGCTTCATGACGGAAACAGCTGTTTCCACTCTGCCTGGTATCTTAAAGTGTCAATTCTCGTTTGTGATAAACGAGACTTCATGGTGGTTGAATTTAACTCCACTCCCAGATAAACAATTGTCTGGGCCGGGAAAATCGAGTTTTTCTTCCAATTTATGGCGAAGCCCAGATTTGACAGGTGTGATGTCAACACCTGAGCCTGCATCACTGCTTCCTGTCTGGAGCGTGACCGCCGCAGCAGTTCGTCCAGGTAAAACAAAACTCTCATCCCTGCTCTGTGTAACGGATGCAGGGCTGTCTCCACACACTGAGAACATACGAGGCACGAGGGAATACCCGACCGGCAGCCTGTTGTACTGATACTTCATCTCCTGAAAGGAGAAAACGCAGGAATTTTCTGTGTTTTGGGATGATCGGTATGCGTTTCTCTGGATGTTGTTCAACAGCTGTCTGGTTGTCAACATGTGAAAAACGGTCTGTCCATGATCGCCTTGTTGAAAGCTGACAGATCCAAAATCGGTCTCATCCCTCCGGTCCGTTAGGGAACCAGGAAGTAACGTGAGTAAAACCCTGTGTTTTCCTCTCTGTTGGGAACCCTGGAGATCACTTTTATCAGAAGCACTTGGACTTCTGCATTTAGGGATGAGATTTGGTCTGGTGATGACATGACCGTCTCTATAACTCCTCCCAACAGAGGGGGTCGGGTTGCAAACTGTAACTTGTAACCACTTGCATAACACCTTGTCCATCCATCTGACCGGCGAGCATGTTTTAGCCACTCTACATAACGTTCGTGGAGTGAACGTGCGTTTAAGTGATGCGTCATGTTTTGTACGGCTGTCACCAGTCCGCCCCTCAACCGCCGTCATGCGTCACGGGAATGTTCTCCGCGTGACCCAGGGCGAGGCGTCCTCGAAAAGGCTCTGAATGCGCCCGTGCGCTGCGTTCGGACCGCGGACCAACCTTCATGTACAGGTGGGCCGGTGTGTGCTGAGGCGAAGCGTGTGACAGCTGATGACGCCGTGGGGCTGCGCGTTTGACGTCGCTGTGCGAACGTTGAGAGGCGGAGAGCGTGACTTCATCTACGCCGTGCTGTTGGAGTGAAGGCTGCGAGCCCCGCGGGAGCACACGTTTTCTCTGGAGGGAC